TAAATCGTTTCTCAAATATAGTGCATTTCATGGTCTGCCACCGAACGTCGACGCATCTTTCATCGTCGATTTGTACTTCCGAGAGATCGTAATACTTCACGCCATTCCCAGGATCATCACATTAGATCGAGACAACAAATTTCTGAGCCATTTCTGAAGGACCCTCTGGGTTAAATAAGGCACTAAACTTCAATTCAGTTCTGCGGCATACCCTCAAACGGATGGCCAGACTAAAATAGTAAATAGGAGCCTTGGGAATTTTTTGTGATGCTTTGTAGGAAAAAGCATCAAACAATGGGATCTCATTCTTGCGCAAGCCAAATTCACTTACAATAGATCCACGAGCCAGACTACGGGACACTACGTTTGAAATTGTACAGGTGCACCCTGCTAACACCCCTTGAGTTGGTCCCACTTTCACACATCAAACATTAGTGAGAATGCTATCGAACGTGTTCACCAGATTCAACAACTCCACGAGAAAGTTGGGCCGGCGATTACGAAACAAAACCACAATTATCAAGCATAAGAGAACAAGTTCAGGAAAAATGTAAAATTTCAAAAAAGCAACCTCGTGTGGATACGGCTAAAGGAATGATTTCCCATACGAGCATGTGACAAACTCAAGCCCCGAGCCGATGGACCATTTCACATACTTAAGAAGTTGAATGACAACACCTATACAAAATTGACCTACCCGAGAACTCAAAAATTTCGACTACATTCAATGTCAATGATCTCCTCCATACTTAGAGAACCTAGAAGCTTCGACGCATAAGGTTAAAAATTCCCCAACCCTGGGAGACTGACGCGAGGCTCTCATGGGGCCCGACAGCTCAAATAGAAAATCGGTCCAGCCTCCGTGCTGGACCAGACCCCTGTGGGGGTTGAATTTGCGCCCCCCTCCCCCTCCCCTAATTCCTAATTATTTCCCCCTCCTTCCTTGATTGCCCTCGTTTCAAAATGCAACCTTTTCTATTCCTCCCTCTTTGATTTCTTATTTATTCTCCTACTTACCAAATATATCATTTACTTCCATCTTATTTATAAAAGTAGTGTGTTGAATGCTAAGCAGCTTTTGTCTATTTTTTATTCCAAGTGTGTCGTCAAGGCCTTCCCTCTAGCAAGGATTGTATTTGACGGCATGAGGTGCTTCCGTTGTACCTCACTTAAGGTGGTGTTTTATTTCAGATCGATCCATTCCTCCTCCTTTCAGTGGTCGACGCCCCCTCCTCCGCACAGACAGACCAGAATCCATCTCTACTCGCCCTCAACGATTGTCGGATCCCACGAACAACTCTTTCTTCACACAGACAAGTCGTTGCCCCTCCTTGCTCGCCTCCCCGTCACTTCCAGGTTCCGCCAGTGCCCACAGACATGTTGTCGATCCCCTCCTTACTCGCCTCGGCAATTCGAAAAACCCGCCTGTATCACAGACAGGCAGTCGAACACCTCCCTGCTTGCCTTAGCTGATAGTAGTTCATGTCAGTGCCACAAGCAGGCCGCCCATCTCCCTCACTTATCGCCCCCAACAACTAATCGATTTGCCGATGCAGACCTCCCCATCTGTCGGTCGCCCCTACACCCTCCAGTCAATCAAACCTTCCCTTTGAGCATCATCCCGCAACTTCCAGATATCCCTCCCAAGGCTCCTCGAGCGCCGATTCTGCATTCCCAGCTGTTGTCGAGCCCTGACGTCACTCCTGCAACTCCTTCCACTCACCGAACCACCGCAATTTAATTAACTGTTGTTAATTAGCTTTCTAATTAAGAATCTCACCTACCGCTCACATACATTCCTACCTACCGCTCTCCTGGTTTCTATAAATAGTCTCTTATCACTTGTCATAAAAAAACAAAGTCAAGCCAAGCCAAGCAAGGCCAAGCCAAGTCCTCTAAGAGAGAAAGAGAGGAAGAGAGAGAGAAAGAAATGAAGATTTTCTTGTAAACGTCGAGGTGCTCGACGGTGTTTTCTTATAAACGTCGAGGTGCTCGACGGTGTAATTCTTCAACAAATAAAATTCCTCTGAAAAATAAAATCAACTGCAGCTCTGTGGACGTAGGCAAATTTATTGAATCACGTAAATCCGGGTGTCGCTCTGGTGTTTTTCTGCGTGCAATTTTCTCGTTCTATTTTTCATAACTGGTATCTGAGCCTTAGGTTCGAATCTAAGGAAGAACGATGGACGGAGACGAAGTGATGACATCGGAGATCGAGAAGGTCAATGACACAGATTTTGCTTACTGGAGGATGCAGATAGAGGACTACCCTATCTCTATGAGAAGAAACTTCATCTTCCGCTATTGGGAAAGCGACCAGAAAAGATGGACGAGGCGAAATGAAATCTGTTGAATCGACAGGTTCTGGGGGTTATTCGATTAACTCTGTCAAGATCGGTTGCCCACAACGTCATTAAGGAGATGACTAAAGCAGATCTCTTGGCGGTTTTATCAGGTATGTATGAAAAGTCATCGGTGAATAACAAGGTGTATTTGATGAACAAGTTATTCAACTTGAAAATGGCAAAAGATGTTTCTGTTACTCAACACCTAAATGATTTCAATACTATCACAAATCAATTGTCGTCTGTTGAAATTAATTTTGATAATGAGATACGTACGCTGATATTGTTGGCTTCATTGTCAAATAACTGGAAAGTCATAAGGATTGCAGTTAGCAGTTCTGTAGGTAAATTCAAACTGAAATATTATGATATTCGTGATTTGATTTTGGCTAAGAAGGTGTGCCTGAAAGATTCTGGCGAGACCTCGGGTTCAAGTTCTACACTGAATGTTGATTCCAGAGGAAACACACATGACAAGAACTCAAACAGAGGAAGATCAAAATCAAAGTCTGGTCAGCAGGCGACCTACTGGATTTATGGCAAGGCTGGACACATAAAAAGGAACTGCAGGATCCTAAGAAGAAGAAGAATGATGCCGCTAATGTTATAACTGAAGAAATACATTATGCGCTATTGCTGACAGTTCACAGTTCTGTTGATGACTAAATACTAGATTTAAGGGTTTCCTTTCATACATTTTTCTGCCGGTAGTTAATGCAAAATCATGTTGTAGGTAACTTTGAGAATGTATATCTGGCTGGTGGAAAAGCTCTGGACATGGTGAGGATGAGAGACGTTGATATTGCACTCCCTAAAAAGAACAAATGAACTTCGCAAAAGGTCAGACACGTTCCTAAGTTGAAGAAAAACCTCATCTCTCTTGGGCAGCTCAATGAGGGTGGTCATTCGGTGGTGTTCTCAGATAACACCTGTAAGGTTACCAAAGGAGCATTAGTACTGGCTCAGGGTAAGAAAACTAACACACTATATATGACTACAGGTTTACTCAGACGATGACACATGAGTGAGAGGTACATTATGAGAAAACAAAAGGTTAGTTTCCTGAAAAGTGGCAGAGCACCAAAGGCTGGAAAACTGGACTTTGTACAGACAAATGGTGGAGAACCACAGAGCTATGAAGAAATCTTGCAATATGAGAATTCGAGTAAATAGGAGCTGGCCAAGGAGATGGAGACGAGTTCCCTGCCAAGGAATCAGACTTGGGAGCTGATAGAACTTTCATCGGAGAGTGGTATACCGGGTGAACACTGTGATTGATGACAGTAAGAGATACAATCCTAGACTTGTTGAAAAAGACTTTCAGTAGGGGCATGATATTACTCATGCAGTGGGAGTTGTAAGCAGATACATGAGTAACCTAGGAAAGAGCTTAGTGGTACAAAGTGGTACAAGACTGAGGCTACGTTGACGGTGATATGTCAACTGAGGGTGTGACTTGTGAGAAGCTGAAGTTGTTCTCGACTTTAGTTGGTCTTCTGGCATGAAGACAGGGGTTTTGAGTTGCAGAGATGAAGGATATCATGTTTCAGGAAAAGGTAGGTGATGCAGCCAGTGTCCCAGTTTCCAAGTGGGAGAATTGTTGGGAAACGTGGAGACCCGGTCCACCGCAATTTAATTAATTGCTATTAATTAGTTCTCTAATTAAAAATCTCACCTACTGCTCACCTACCTTCCTACCTACCGCCCACTTACTACATCTCACATACCGCTCTCCTGGTTTCTATAAATAGTCTCTTATAGTTTGTCATAAAAAAGTCAAGCAAATCCAAGCCAAGCAAAACCAAACCAAGTCCTCTAAGAGAGAAAGAGAGAAAGAGAGAGAGAGAGAGAGAGAGAGAGAGAGAGGAAGGGAGCTCCTTCTTTCCCTTGGTGGCTAGAAGAAGAACCACTCAGTTTTGGCCATTTGAAATTTTTTCCCTTGGTGGTTTCAATGAGCTCCTTCTTTGATCTTCACCCAAGCAAACTCAACAACTGCATTGAACAAAAATCTTGGTGAGTTAGAATCTTTATAAGGTTTTCCTTCATGTCTATTGGCATCTATTTGAAACCTCCAAAATGTGAATGAAGAGGCTGTCATTAAATTTTCGGGTAAAACATTTCGGTGAGGTTTTCTAAGACTTCCTATTGTATGGCCTAACAATCGTAAAATCCAATATACACATAATTAAAACTAGAGGAACATGATTTCAAACTTTTTTCCAGTTATTTGACCTTTTGTCAAGGCCATCAAATTTTTCAAAATGGATGGCATCAATTGCATAAGAAGGTAATTATGATTTCAAACTATAAATACATGAGTTGATCATGATACACATAGTGGATAATATTGAGTGACAAAATTTGCAAGTAAAACTTGACATGCTGAATGGATGACTAAATCGGGATGTAAATTGATGAATTTGGTCAAAAAATAATTTTAAATGTTATAAATCATAACTAATGATAACATTATAGTATAAAGATTGTATAAAGTGACAAATGCAAAAAGAGAGAGAGAGAGAGAGAGAGAGAGAGAGAGAGAGAGAGAGAGAGAAAGAGAGAAATCATTTTCCTCTTGGAAGAAGACAAAAAAAGTCCATTTGATGCATACATATACACAAAATATTATGAGGGACCCTATCTAGTAATTAGTACCTCTGCACAACTTCTGAATCAGGTAAGTGACATTTTGGTTTTAGATAAGCATTTATAATCTCTAGTACATTGTCATTTGGTTCCAGTTTCTTCTCACGTTCTGCATAAGAAGTCAATATTACGATAATGCCGGAGTTTGACAGAAAATTAAGGTACTCAGCACTAATTCTGATTAAAAGTTTATGAATATAACATATTTATATGTTTAGGAAATATGTGATATAACCAAGCAAAATCGTCAACAATATTGGTGTTCAATTAGGCTTTGCTTCAAGGCAGTGTTACACAAACTAAGCAATTGAAAAGAAAATTTCAGACTTCAGTACACTGAAACGGGAAACTACTTGAGCAGAGAAGCCATTTCAACATTCAAGCCTATAAATATACATCACAATGAACTTGGAAGGTATCAAAATTTTTTGCAAACAAAGATTGTACTCAAAAGTACGCATTTTTACTTCTCAAACCTAGACCTCTCTTTGATCATTTGAAGAATTGTAGTAACCTAAACAGAATTACATAATATAAAAAATGTAATAAAAATATTCCATGGAAGATTACATTAAGGCAAATTTTAAACATAAATAACAATTTGAAGAATGATATCAGCTAAATCGGAAAGAAAAGAATAGTGAAAGCTTCCTACCCGCATTAGGTTGTTTGTAGCATATAAGATTTTCCTTATCGAAGTTGCAATTTAGAGATTTAACAGTCGCTTTCGCTTTGGACTTCTTTTCTGCAAACGCTAATCCCTCTGACTTAACTCTTAGCAGAATGTTAATGTCTCCAATTGATTTAACGAGCTGGCAAGATGTTTCCTGCACGAGTTGAATTTCACAAACAAAGGCGCCGCTGATGATCATTAAACCCAAGCAACGTTCACAATAGAAAATAAATCTTAAGTGAAATACTAAAATATGATGAATATGCAATTTGCTCCAAACTTGAACGCTAAAAATTTTAAAACTTACAGGACCAAAGCCATAGACTCCATGAGAGTAGTCACTGCCAAGGAGGAGAGCCAATGCAATCTGAAGAATATGAATTGTTTAACCAATATATGCAAGAATGAAGAGGGTTAAAAACGGAAATAGACAAGTCTTTAAGGCTTTCTACAAAACAAATAACTCTTGGTTGTTTTAAAAACTCAAATTAAGTGATCCGATCCTAATTTTATGAAAAAAATCATGGTCCCTTATACTTTAAAAAAATTCCTCCGATAAGAGCATCTACCATGGGTATTGAGCCAAGAAACTCAAAGAGGGAGAGGTAGATTAGACGTGGAAAGTCATACCTAAACTTTCTTTTGCAACTCTTCCAATTCAATCCCACAAAATAAGTACATTGGATAATATCAAACCAATCACACAAAGAAAGTGTACCCAAATGTGATTAATATGGTATTGAGATATTGAGAGCTAAATGTGTGAGCATCATACCAAGTATGCATAAGAATGATAGATACAATCAATTACATAAGCTATGATTAATCAAGTATGGCAAACACCAAACAATAATGTCCACATGATGTATGACGATGGTTATACAAATACATGCTAAGGTTGAGTATAATGACGAGCAAACATGTAACAATTTATTCAACATATAATCATGGAACAATGCAAATCAAGCGAGTGCACGGTGCAAGTAAATCTAGTTGTGAAAAAAAAAATAATTTTATATGGTTGTTGACCTCATTTTTTAGGTCATTATTCTTTAGAATCCTAAGATCTAGCTCTAAGAGTTCCTATTAACCATCTTAGAAAACTAGAATTGGGACCCGCCATTTTTAGAAATTCCAGCCCCTTCCTATTTTCCTTTCCTGTGATGTCTAGCATTTATGGTCTCAAAACAATCGTCTTATGAACGAGCGGTTAAGGGCTATTATGTGGAGACTCAGGGAGAAGTTCCAATAGGATTTCAAGTCATAGAAAAATCTCGTCAGGACTTTGTCGTCACATACACACACCGAATGCACAAAATTCACTAAATTGCACAAGATTGAACTTAAATTGAGCCTAAAGAATGGGTGAAAAAGAAAACTTCTCCAGACGACCTCCGACGACAAAATGGACTGTGCCAACGCGTTCGGGATACCAATTTTATCAAGAAAAGACACTCATATTGTCATATTTCTGACAAGCAAAATTGCGCACAAATCAATGAATTCGTCAAAACGACTTCTGATGGTGAAACGGATTGCGCCAACGCGTCCGGAACGTCAGAATTACCTAAAATAGACATCAATTTTGTTATGTTTTGACACAAAAAAGTGTGAATTCAATTTTATCTTTAAGAAATATTAAATATTTTATATTTTTATTATTTATAATATTAAAATTATAATTTGAATCCTTATTTCCCCTCTACCCACGCACTTAAGCCCTCATCCGACCCATTCCATGGCTCGATCCCGCGGCTTGATACTTCGATGTTCGCCCCGCTCCTCTCGCCTGCTCGCCCGTGCCCTAGCTCCACGGCGGATTCCACACGGTAACACTCTTCCCCTTCCGTCTCTTCTCCTTCTCTACGTGGCACGGCAGCCGTTTGACTCTCCAATCGCAAGGAGATGAGCTGGCCGACGCTTCTCCTCCTCGAGGCTGTACGCTCTCCCTCTTTATTTGTCGATTCCGTCCCTCTTGTTCTATTCGGCCATGAAGCGGTGGTTGGTGGCTCTCTCCCCTCTCTTCTCTGCATATAAAAGAGCTTCATAAAACATTGTTTTGGGTTGTTGAAAATTTTTGGAGAGAAAGGAGAGGCTGTATTTTTGTTGTGGGAGGCTCTATGAAAGAAAACTCTGCTAAAATCTTCTCTAAAATCTGATTCTCGTGCGCTTGGAGTGTGGGGTGTTCGTGGAGTGCTATTTACTTTGCTGAAAATCCTCTCTAAGCTGTCGTTTACTTTGCCGAAAATCCTCTCTAAGCTATACTTTCGGGTGCCTATGGTGTGGAGCATTTGTGGTTGTCGTTTCTTGAAATCTTTAGGAGGAATATTTCTCTTGGACTGGTTTTCTTGAAATTGTCTTTCAATTTTTTATCTTAAATCTGCTGAAAAGAGGTATTCTTCCCTTTCTTCTTATTCTATTTTATTTAGGATGGCATTTTGAGGTATCTCTATCCTTTTACAAAAATTAATGGAAGCATGGCTTAGTTTATTCTGAAGCTTAGACATTGATACATGTTAGATTCAGTAAAAGGAAAGCATGTATGGGCTGCCTCTATTCTTTTTGCTTGACATACTTGGAAACATTAAATTGGTAGCTTGGAAATGAAGTTCATCCCTCTAGAAATGCATGTTAGAAGAAATTATCAAAGCTTTTATTATTGTTATTCATGCTTAGAATAAATGTTGGAAAAGGTTGGCTCTAAAAGGATTTATTCATGTTTACCTATTGCCTATCACCATTTGATAAAAAGCTGAAACATTCTTATCTTGGGGCTCGGTTTAGCCTCTATGCTGCTCGGTTTTGTCCATTTTGGGTTCGGTTTTAGTTGTGCAGGGCTGGATAAATGCTGGAATCATTGTTCTTATTTTTGCCCATAAACCGGGCTCGGTTTTGGATCATTTTAAAACATATAAATAGTTGGAATTTAGTTTCAATTTTTTTTTTTTTTTATGGTGGATGTGGTTTCAATTTTGCCCGTGTCGGGCTGGATTTTGCGCCTTTGCTGCTCGGTTTTTGCCCCTTCTTTGGGCTCGGTTTTAGATCTTTTGAAATGAGTAAATGCTGGAAATATTTTTGTTTGCCCTCCCATGTGGCTGGACTCGTTTTGCCCCTGTGTTGGGCTTGATTTTGCCCATTTGCTGTTCGGTTTTTGCCCCTTCTTTGAGCTCGGTTTTAGTTCTTTTGAAATGGGTAAATGCTGGATGTTATTTTTTGGTTTGCCCCTGTGTTGGGCTTGGCTTGCCCCTGTGCTGGGCTCGGTTTGCCCCTTCTTTGGGCTCGGTTTGGGCTCCTGTTAGTGATTTATGTTGGCTAGAATCCCTTACTGTTTTGGATCATTTCTTTGCCCCTGTGTTGGGCTCGGTTTGCCCCTGTGCTGGGCTCGGTTTGCCCCTTTCTTAGGCTCGGTTTGGGCTCCTTTTTGGTGATTTATGTTTGGCTGAAATTTTTTATTGATTGGTCTATTCCTTGAGCTCGGATTGACCCCTTTGTTAGGCATGGTTTGGTTGGGGCCTCCTCTTTAATGCTCCTTCTCCTAAGGTTTTTATTGGTAATCAAGTTTCTCTCCCAAAATTCATAAATTTCAATGTCTAACTCTATGTGGGAATGTTTAATTTGAACATTGTCATGCCTTATGGGATGAAAGCGGGTTCGGTCCTAATGATCTATAATAGCTTGTCCATTCACTCTCTTATGTATATCAAATACATTGTAATGGTGTTACTTATGGTGATTTCTTTTTTTGTTGCTTTGGCCGTGAGCCTTCCTTGATGTTTATGGCCTTCCTCTTGTTGTCTTTGCCCGTGAGCCTAAGGGATGAATCTCTTCCTCTAGTTATCCTTTACCCGTGACCCTTACTGTTGTGGTTCAGGTTGTATTTGGCTGGAGTTTAATTCGAGTGGGAGTCTTTTTCTTGCTGCCCCTTTATCCGTGAGCCTTAATTGATGATTTTTTTTCATGGATTATTTCAGGTTGGTGTTTCCCACCCTCTACTGATTAATTTCTCCTATCTTTGAGATATGTGAAAGGATTTTAATGATTTTTGTTTTGGGAAATTATAAAGCTTATATGAATTAAATTGATGAAGGGATTTGAAGATTTATGAAATTGTTATTTGGAAAAGAGTTTTTGAAGTTTGATATTAAAATTTGGATGACATAAATGCTATATTTAGGTTCAGGATTAGGTGTGAGTGCATACAAAGGATGGAGCCATGAGTACAGTGTCATGTTAATCTTGAGCTTGTTTCAATCTATTTGAAACAAAATTTGGAAAGGATACCTTTCTTGGGTTGATCCAATTATAAAATTTGATAAAATGATATCATTTTTGGATTGATTCAAGGATTTTGGACTCTCTTTTTCAGATCTTTTTGTCACAGTTTTGAGGGTTGGTTCACCCTTTATCCTTTCGGTCTCTTGGGTGAATCAATTCCTCCTCTCTCTCATCCCCATTTTTATTCTTTTTTTTCTTGCTACTTGGTTCGATTTTTTGTGTTTATGTCTGATACATAAGTACTTATATATAACATTTTGTTATATGTGAAACCATCAAGTAAGATCGCAAGTAGGTCGACTTTGTTTTGGGGCGTAGGGCGATGATGACAAAGGCACGCTGGTGGTAGAGCAGAATGATATCTCATCCTACAACACCAGAACTCAATTATTGGACATGATGAACTGTAGGATGAAAGTATCATTCACCGACATAAGACTAGAGAGGGACCAGTACCTTCTTAGGTTGTTGGTGGTCTTATGTCCGACAGTGTAATCAACTCGTGGACAATTATTCTTTTCTTAAAACTAATAAGAACATATACAATGTTTTAAAAAATATCTTTATTACAAAATTAAATACAACTTTCCTTTTGTATGCCTGAAATGCATGGGCATGCTAAAATTTAAATTTTAAATATGTTACAACTAGGTTGTCTACTTGTTCATTACCAATTCTGGGCTAAGGAGTACCCTCCTAATTTAGGTTCAGTAGGATATCCTTCTAGTGGAGTGGCGGACTTTATACATCCGGATGACCGAGTAGTCTTCAACGTCTCTCGAGTACAAATATATAATTTTGAGCCTAGCCCCAACCAGAGTGCTTGCGGTCCCCTCTTTTCGAATTTTTCGTATGTTTTATCGAAATTTTTGGACAAAGCATTCGTGGTTTTTTCCTCTAAATTTTCCCGAGGTTTTGATAATTTTATTTGAATTGTTACTCGTCAATTTTCCCAAGTCTTTCGTCGTGAATTCTTTCGTCGTGGATTTATTTGTCGATTTTCTCGAATTTTCCAAGCAACGTTTCTTTTATTTATATCTTTTGTTTATACAGTGAATAATGGCTAGCTCAAAGGAGCAGCAGGCCTCCCAA